TGTTTTTTTAAATTAAGTAGCGGTACACGAAGCGATATAGGAGACAAAAAGCCTCTAGTAGAGGCTTTTCATCTTCCACGGAGAATTCCTCGCGTCGACCTTTAATTAAAGGGCGATAATTAACTACGGGCATAACACGGATGCTTTTGGGCAACGATAAATCTTCCCGGTGGTGTTTCACGTGGACGACGATGTTTGTCGGCTCCTCCTCGTAGCCCAGCCGATTGACACAGCTATGTTAATTCTTGAATAAATACTCGCGGAGAAAAAAGCAGAAAATATTCGACTGCCCGCGAGAGGAATTCAGGAACGTTGCAAGAAGAAAAATAATTTCTCGATAAGAAGATCGATCTTGGTGAGGTCCATGTGGAATTCGCATTTATCATGGCCCTTGGAACCGAAACTTCTGAAGACACGTTTTTCTCGCAGCGACGGTGCAAACGCCCATTATTTAAACGAACCAGATCCTTGTTCGAGGGCGTAGAGAACATCCGTTCAATATTTATGAACCACGAGGAGGAACGAGAGATCGCCCGCGAAATATTCTGCCAAGCTGTGATTTTCACGAACGAGGCTGCCCGGTAATTAATCGCGTTGTCATTAATCAAATCTACCCCTATTTTTCGGCTTCTTTGGAACCTCTCGTTGAAAATTTACGGGGACCGGGTCAGTTTATCTTTCTGATCAGTTCAGAATGGAGAATTTGTAACTGTTGTTTAGCAGGGACTAGAGTTACACTTTGGCTATTTTAGGTATTTGGAAATTTGGACATTTCAGGAAACCTGGATGAATTAGTTGCGAGTGGTAGAGTTCGTTCGAGACGGCTTTTCCAGTGTGATCGACTTGTTTTCCTTAGTAAAGGGCCTGTAGGGTCGTTCTTTCCTCTCGTCTTTCTCTCGACTCGTAGCTTAGCTGATTGCGGGATAAGCTTCGCGAGAGCTCTCGTGGTTTCAACGAGAGGCGATAAGGATCGTTCGTAGAAAATAAGAGAAAGGAAAAATAGAAATTCGTCTCTGGACGTTTAATCGGAATATTTGATAAAATAATTATTAGTGAAAATAGTTTGGCAAAATGGATAACTAAAGACGCTAATCAAGACGTTAAACAATGGCGAAAATATGCAAGAAAATTCGTTTGAAGTCGGGTACAATGAAAGCTCGGTGCTCAAAGGGTTAAATCAGTGCCGAGAGCAGTGCAGTTTCATTAATTTCAACGGCACCGTTGCGAAGAAAGCGTAAAACAAATCGTTCCCGTTTTATGCCGACGAGTAATCACTTTTTAATGGGAACCACGCTTCTTTCATTACCGACCACCGTTCCCTTCTGTCTTATAATTCGGTCACTCGCCTAAACAGACGATTTTTAATTTCGCCTGTAAATTCTTATGCAAATTGAACCTTTTCAGCCATTCGCGTTTAAACTCAACTTTCATTCTATAATCCTCCCATTAAATTTTCTTCGTTTTCTCTTTCCAATGTACTTTTCACTTTTCCGATCGTAATTTTAACCAGTCACTCTTTCCACTGCCTACAAATATACTGACAACCTTTATTTAATTCTTTTACGTAATTGTAACGTGATTTAGCTTTTTCTGTTCATTTAATCTGTAGTTTTCTCGTCAGATTTTTGCAACATTGTAAAAGATGCATAGTCGTTAACTGTACGCGATAATTATACGCATTAAAATAATCATTCTAGTTTGACGTACGTATTTATTTACATGAACTGTACTGCGCATGTTACTTTCGTTATCGACTACACATGTGTTTAATCTTTAAGGTTATAGTCAAGGTCATCGATAAATTTTCTGTAATTGAACATTAATGACTACAATGTAGCATAAAATATCTTTAAATAAATTATATGCTATCGGTACAAGACTGCCTTATTCGCCATATAAAGAGATGAATTTGAAAATTAAGCAAAATTAATAGTGCAACAAAATTTGAATAGTGGCATGAATTTCCACCGTGAAATTTTTTTGAAGACAAGAACGAATAGAAAGAGCACGTTCAAACGCAGCGACATTACGTGTGTAAACATGATATTTGCACGGGTTCTTTATTTTCCACGTGGTTCGCGTAGACATGCGCTTTCCACTTTGCACATCGATGCACTTTCAGACAGAATTATTCTACTCGTTCTTAGCTTTCGTAATTAACCGTCTACGTTTTGCGCGGAACAAGCAGAATTATTTCCTTGCAATCTTCTCTGTTTCGTTTTCTCGTTAACGCGTTTGCCTCTGCGGTCTCGTTCCTTGGAATGAAATAGGATTAAAGAGGTCTCGCCACTTGCATACTTTATTATTTCTCTAAAACAATTTCTTTAATTTTTACTTCTTTAACCTTCTTTAAGTTTTTTGGATATTTTTCGAGTTACGATTTTACGAGGCGAGCATACATCATCGTCCAGATTTCTTCCTTGACACGGGGCGCCATAAGATCGGAAAACGCGGGCAGCTGGCTCGTTCGGCTCTAAATAAAGCGCTCAAGTGCAGCAGACGAGATGTGAAACGTAATAAAATTTATCTGCAACCACCGTTCTCTTTCCGAAGGATATGGCTTCACTCTAAATTGCGATACACTTGCTTAGAAATTTGCAACAGGTATTTTGGTAACTAACTAACTTCAGTGTACTTCCCGAATTGACAAATTGGTAGTTCAATTTTTAACAACATTTTGAACATGTATTTGATTCTCACAGAAGCACAGTTTCACGTTAAATCGAGTGGAGGGATCGAAAACGTATCGAAAGAGAAAATTCGATCAGGCACGTATCGAAGAAAGGTGGTCGCAAACGTCGTAGAGTCCGTAGAAAATAGGAGAAAGAAATAAAGATTGAAACGGTATCTATTCGTCGAGATCAATCCGAAGTCTCATCCGTCTCGAACGTGTCGAGAACGAGACGAAATCCAAGATGGTTCTATTCGCAGACATAATACAACGATGTGCTCTTGGTCGTTTTGCGCGAGCAATCCGGAACGGCTATTTTCAGTGGTCGAGATAAAGCGCAAGGTAGCCTGGGAATAATTTCATCCAGCCTTTTTCGACAGTTCAAATTTTTATTTCTCAACGATGAAACTCTCGCGAGTGCGAGCACAATTTACTCTTAGGTTTCGCGAAGAAATTTTTAATCCACGCAATTTGGGATTGAGTCGTGGAATTTGCAAATTTTCTAACTTCTGAATTTTGAAATTGTCAGTTGTTTTAATTGATAAATTTGAAAGTTTCTAGATCGTGAAATAGCCAAATACCAGTATCGCCAACTCGATTTACATTTCAATATCTCTCTAGCACACGCGGATCTCGCGTTCCTCTAATCCGCAATAATGCAAAGTAACACCGAGTGGTCCCCGCAGTCGTGTCTCATAAAACAACCTCTTAAGTTCGCGATAAAATCGTGTGACTCACAGTGAAACTATTTTCCCGGTCGTTTCGAAAACGACCTCGATTCGTAAGCACGCGTGCGAACGCACACGAAAGGCCGACGACTTTCAGAAAAAATAAATTGGATGTACGATCATTCCGGAAGAAGCGTTTCGAACGATAAGCATAACGCATTAGTATAAAGAAGTAAATGCTCAGAACGAGGAAGGAGCTAAAAATTATCTGGGGAAAAATGGTGGATCTACTAAAAAGGAACACAGTTTCAAACCGATGTCTTTTCTCACGGGACTTAAGCCGAGTTTCGATCAAACCGCAAGGCTTTATCTTGAAAAAAAGAGCGGCGAAATTGCTGCTTCGATTCGATAGAAAGTCCGTGGTAGTTCGTGGTGTTCGAATCGATTATTAGTTTTTAACAATTAGTAGAACCACGTGACCTGAAAACGTCGATTTACGAGCCGTAACGTCTACGACCGAACAGAGAATGCTTTCAAGGGTTGAAATTACGAACTTGAGATTGATCGTCACGCGACATGCACAATTTCTCGACACGTGACGCTAATTAATTCGACTGTTTCCTTATTCAACCCTTCTTTGGCCAACCTCGGACTTCGACTTCTCCCTATTTTGCTGTGATACAATTTTGCTTGTTTTCTACGTTTCAAACAAGTTATGGGAATTCCTTTATTAAATAATACCGTGTCAATCTCATTTAACCAACGGTTCTTAACATCATAATTACATTCCCTATACACGAGCGTCGCACCATTAGCACAAAATCGATATTTATGAAATTCATCGTCTGTTTATTAATTATTAATACGACGAAACACACCGTCCGATAAAATACAGTCCGCTGTTGGCCGGATCATCGTTTTGGCAACGTTCCCGATCCGCTGCAAAAAAGGGAGCGTTTCGCTCGTGGACAGCATCGGTAATTAAAACGCGTATTAATAACTACAAGTTAAACGCAATTGAAATTAAGAACAAAGACCTGCGCGAAATCGTCGACAGACTCGTGTCGCGAGAGACACGTGTAGCCGACACGGACTTTCACGGAGCAGGACACGTTGCCATCCTTTGATCTGTTCCTGACAGCTTTATTCTGCTCGTCCTCTCCAACTGCGCATCACTCTTCCATTACATCCTTCATCACTTTTCTTTCGACGGTAGATCGTGTCTGTTTCTGGTCAGATACCGATTCTCTTCTATCCTTAATTTGTCTCTTTTATAAATTTAGATCTTTCCACTGGTAATATAGCGATACTCGTCGATAATATAAGGAAGGAGTACGGTATGAAATAATCAGAATCGTCCGTTGTAACTTAGAGACAATATACCAGTTGCGCGTACGAAAATTCCTCTATAAAATAAATTGACCTCGTAACTTGCCAACCATAATAAAAATTCAGGTTATAAATATTGAAGGATAAAAGTAAAGTTTCGAATAGCGACGAAATTTGTCATGTACCAAGTATATGTACAATAATATAGCGGGCTCCGATAAATATTTATAAATATCCGCAGCGTTATATCGGAACGAGTAAAAAATCCATTATAAAGCGTATGTTCGAGGGGAGAGGTAAAAAAATAGGAACGGTAGAAAAATGAAACTTACCGCTGTCCGCGTAGGTCTCTGAACCGTATCCATCCTGAAGGCCGATCGCCCACGTGCCCTCGTACCTCGCCGTCGACGTGGTCGATTGTCTGACACCGTATCGACCCTTGAATCCCTGATTCCATTCACCACGATAAATCCAACGTCCACGGGTTTCCATGCCCAAGCCGTGTCGTTTTCCGTTTTGCCATTGCCCCTCGTACGCGGACCCGCTGAAACAGGATATCCTTGCTGACAATCGTTCGCGCCTTTCTTTCCTTTCACCCTCTTTCCACGCGACGCTCTCGTTAACCACTCGCCCCTTAACATCGTACTTGTTGCTTCCCACCGTTACACCTTTCAATCTTATGCCAACGTACAGGCTGTTTGAAAATCTCGATGCGTTCAGAACGTGCTAGAAATTTTCATATCCTTCGATTCTCACGATTTTCAGCTTACCAAATTTTCTCTATTACCAAATTACTGATCTCTCTGTCGAAAGATAGAGGTTAAATTCGACGAAAGTCTCGCTGAAAAGATTGCTTTCACGACGCGGGAAAGAGGATCACCGAAGAATACATCGCGAATTTCTTTCGCGAGATGCAATATCGAGAAAAGAAAGCTCGGAAAGAAAAATTGCTTCTTCGTATCGAAGGATCCGTCGAGAAGAAAAAAGAAATCATCGTCTCTGCTTGTGGAAAAACGTGTCGATATTCGAAAAGGATAGATAGAAAAACATCCAAGGGACGGATATACTTCGATAATGAGTTCCTTTCGTGTTGGCAGCGTATTAAAAACGAAATCTGATTGCTTACGTATCGAAACGCACGGAAATGAGAAACGAGGATATCGAACGTTTCTTTTTACCAAGATTTTTTAACTCGCAAACTTCCAGTCTCCGGTAACGTTAAAGAAATGAAACCCAGATTGATCAAGTTTCGCTCCCGATACCTTTTATCGTTTCGATCGAATCAATTCGATGATAATACGATGAGTTTCCTTTCATCCTTACCCGATTTTTTATGTAAAATTTTATCACCTTTTTGTTAGTAATTTGTTAATAATTTATTATTGTCTACATCCATATGAAATCGTAGAATCTTGACGACAGACGACCTATCTTCCATCTATCGTAGAATCTGTTTCTCGATTCCAATCTGTTCCCGACAGAGATGTTACTTGCTGCAGAATATCCGAGATTTCCACTTCGACAATCGCGATGACGAAGTTCACGCATCGGTGCCGTTCGTAAACAGCTTGGAAGCTCGTTTTAATTAACAAGAACTAGCGAGTGAAAATTGCTCGATATCGAGGGATCTGTATACAGAGAGAATGGGAATTGTTCAAGGTCCCAAGGAATTTATCTCTCTTCTTTGCAATATTGTGGCAAATACTTGCTAACCTGAAAAGGTATGCTATTTAAAAGAATAAAGAAAAGTCGAAGAAAAATCAATCGTGACGAGTATAACTTTGACAATGAACGCAAGACGGTGCATCACCGAATCGCGACAAGTCGGATGACTGGTGCTAATTCGGTCGATCGACGAATGATAAGATAAATAATCGCGACAAATAATTGTCGAAAATTGTTTGTTCGTGATGCGATCGAGGAGGCAGGAGAACGATTTATCGAGCATCCCTAGGAAGAGACGCGACTTGACGAAGACCTTGCTCCAGTTTAAACGGAAACGAACCGACGGAATCTCTCGGCCCAGATATATGTATACGTGGTCGTGGGTAACGCAAGTTCCCCATCTCTCTACCCTCCTCATCCTTCTTTTCCCTCTTTCTATTTTCTTTCCACGGGTATTTCCACCCTTTCTGCCGGCGAGCGACACGCTTTGATCGCATCGAAACGCCACCAGAATATTAATCTCTCGCGCTCGATCCACTTCCTCTATATTCGTCTATCCCCATTTATTAACAAATCATTATCTATCTTTAAAATGGGACACCTTGGATTATGACTCTGACAGTGAAACAAAACGATATTTCGATACTAACGAGAAATTCCTATCGTGTACGAAAGAATAGGTTCATTAGAAGAACCAGATGGAAAAATTCGTTAGCAGCTGATCGGTACACGGGGCGAAAAATGATAGCGAGTACAGGGGCTGTTTAATATCCGGTAATTGCTGGTTGCGATTAGCGAACGAGTACGAGCGCCGCTGAATCGTTAAATAGACGCGCGATTAGGTTGATAAGAAAGGTGGAGTAATTAACGATTTAACCGGGACGTCGAGCAGAGAGCTTCCATTCTAATTATCCCACGATTCTTTGTTATCGCAGCGAACTGGGTCTAGGAGCTAACATTTCTTGTGGATCCGCAAAGTGATTCGCTTTATTTCCAATTTTAATCTTCGCTTCCTTTTTAATATTATTTGCTTATCTCTTATGGAACCATTTGGGAAATTCGAAAGTCGGTGATCCCCGACTGTAATGAACTTATACCTTTAATTAGATGAACTCGTTCAAATTCGTTGTACATACTTACATAGTTGCCTATTTGCAAAACAGAGTAAAAGGAATCGATTGAATGACGAGAGAAATAGGGTCAGCAAGATACTATCTACAGATGATTAATCAATCATAGAAAGCTTGATTAATCGGTGCTTCATTAGCTAACGAAGAAATCCAAAAACGACTGTCTATTCGATAGCCCTTCGAAATTTATTAAATCGTGTCCATTGACAGGAGAATATTAAAAAATGGAATGTCAGGTTCACGATAATGATAATTGCTCGAAAAAAGAGAGCCAATTTCGAATGCACGAAATTACCGAATATATTTGAAGACGAATCTATTATTTGGTCGACTGAAACGTACAAAACGATTGATGGGGAATTTGAAAGTGCTTTATAGCGTGTTAATTACTACTGTCGTTTTCTGTGCGTGACTTTGATCGAGATATAATCGAACCTCGAAACGTACTTTCTACGACACTTTTCCGTCACGTGTCGGTGCGGTGGAATCTTCGACGTGTTCTCGTAATTGCTACACGCCTGGTTAATGTCGTAGCTTAATCGATACGCACAGGACGCACGAACACCTTCTGCTGTATCGCTCAATTTTATGCTGGGTAGGAATGTTCTAATTTTACCTCGATCAAGATATTTTCAAATGAAATAAGAAATTGGAGTAACAATGATCAGAAAGAGTCGTGCAAATGAACTATTAGTTGCGTCAAAAGTACGTAATATTTTTATATTTTAATGGCTAAGTGAAATAATTTATCATCAAAGTTTATGTCATCGTCACGATATTCTTTGTTTTTCGAAGTTGTTGCCGTAATAAGCGACCATTCGATCCACAAAAATTTTCGTCTCGTGTTTCTTTTTAACAACGGTTCAAAACGCAAAATCATAATTTAGTTAAACAACAGCGTGGTTCGATAAATTTTTCGCTGTTAAATCACGTCGATCGTTACTTGTAGCTTTGTCATCGATCGTACAGGGTCCGGGAAAACTAATTTTTCGCCCGATCGAAATAGAACGTTTTTCGTGCGTGAAATCGAAATAATCTGGACATGTCTGACGATTTCTTTCTACGAAAAAGCGCGCGTAACGGCGACTATATTTGATCCGTCGATCGTTCCGGAAGAAATTCTGTCACGCGTCTTTAAATAGTCCGTTGCAACGAGAGAGCCCGTAAATATAATTGTTATTAACATCAGCCGTCACCAACCGCGTTTCGAACGTACAGGGGAAAATTGACCCACATTTTTATGTATTTTTAGCCGCGCCCGGTGTTCATCAATGGAACTCGGGGATTAGACGTAAAAACAAAAAGAAGAAGAAAGAAAACAGAGAGATGTATACGTGGAAAAATTCGACATTACTATATTTAGAATCGTTTCGTACGAGAGTCGACACTCGGTGTAACCCGAATTCGTTGCATCGTAAATAATGGCTCCCACGTAGAAATTCGACGATCCGAGCGCTCGAATACTCGTATAATAGGTCGCCTTTATATTACCGATGCGATGCTTCAAATCGTTTCAAGTATACGACCATATTGCCGTACGACAATTATTGGGACACCCGAACTATCCCAAATATCCGCGTGTCCCCGATATTCCCATTTCTTCTCGTCAATCTGCTTTATATCGATGTACCCTGACTATTATTCCAAACAAACGCTGTAGACTCTCGCTATATTGCCGCGAAAAAATTCCGAAGAACAATACGCGTTGCACATTAGGAATACCTCTCTTTCGTGTTATGGAAGATTTAGATTAGATTAATAAATGTAATATCTTAAAAATGCTTCCTCGTGAAATTCTAGTTACTACCCTGCTCGACGCTAAAACCCTCGAAATCACGACGGTCATTTAAAACTCCGCGATAATTGTTCCCAGCAGAGAAAATTGCAGCGAGGTATTATTTTTCCACGGAACGAGATGTCCGGTTAAGAGTTAGGAAATCCTGGTGAAATTCGGGGAAACAATTGTCTAGCGTGTCCGTGAACTAGCTCCTCCTAACCGTTCGGTTCCCAGTGACCTGGACTCGTTGTCCTTGCACTCGGTGACCCACTTTCAGGATCGGGAGATTCCCGGCCAGCCGCAGGTATATAGCGAGAGATACGTGTCAAGGTTCTCCGTTCATCACGAATTGATGCCGTTAATGGCGACTCCTAGTGATACAATAAAATTACTACGCCGGACCGTTTCATACTCTCCCAACTCTTTAATCGCCACGATGATGCTACTAGCGAAAACGTGTCTGTATTGTAATTAGCTCGAGGAGCGAGTTGAAATTTTGCTGCTTGATCGATAGACGAATCAAATTGGATCATATCGAATCAGGTGGAATTGGCTCTCGTGGATTCGGATCGTATCGAATCGAATTAGAAGAGTTAAGAATGCAAAGATAACGCCAGAACCGCTAGTTCCTCTTTTCAGATAAACAGTTAAAGTATCTGATCCGTATAGAAGATTCTGTGTTTGATGTTTCCTCTATCGAAGGTAATTGTTTTAATCCTCTTAAGAGTCGAAGCGATTCGACACTCGAGATTGGGGTCTCGATTTCAAGGGATTCGAGCTCGATAAAGATATCGATGTATCCTCGTGTGTTCGAGTTCCTTTCTCGTCCATGTTCATTTACAGTCTTTATCTAACACCGGATAATCTTTCGGTCAAAGAGATCGAAAATCTTTCCTTTCTTTTGTTCTCGGTAAGCGGAACAAAGTAGATCAAAGGAAGAAGATAAAACGTGTCGTCAATTGGACAGGTTTACGAGTATTCTCCAAGCTGGGAACAGTTTTGCTAATTAAATTTAGAGATCCACGCGTCGATACGGAACGTGTCGCTAACGAAACACAGGCTTATGCAGCTTCGATACGAAGAACGCGTAGAAAGCTCGGTCGAGCCGCGATCGAGCCAACTTCGGAGAAACACTAATTTGATAACTGTGATAAAAGTTCGATTTCGAAGGATAGAAAATGCGGTCGCGTTTGGCTAGATGGCATAAAATTGGGAAGAAACGTATGGTATGGTGATCTCACCTAGGCCAGGTGTAGACACCGGAGACCTCGAATCCATAGTGCCAGCTACCGGAGTAAGCACCCTGTCCTTTGGGTCCGGTGCAGACTCCGTGCCCGTGAGCTTTTCCGTCTTCCCAACCGCCGCAGTAGGTGCCGCCATCGTCGAAATCGAATCTGCCGCCGTTAACCTGGGCACGATTTGACGTCGCGGTGGTGGTACCTGTCGCTCCAGGTTGGGCCGAGGCGATGCCACCTGTTTGAGGCAATTGGGCACCACCTGCCACCCCGTTCGGTGCCCCGGACTGTTGGCCAGACTGTGGCTGTTGCTGCATCTCTTCTCTTCCACCTCCTCCTCTTCATCCACCGCCTCCTTCTGCCTCTCGTTCTTTCCTCGCCACGTGTCTCGTAATCTTCGTCCTTTTCCTGGTCGTTGTCGTTGTCGTCTTGGTCGTGTTGCTCGTTATCGTGGTCGTTATCGTGTCGGCCGGTTAGCAACGATGACACAAACGTCCCTGTGGACGTTGATCCGTCATGCTGCCCGCTCGTCTCCACGTTTCTCGTCTCACGCGTTCTCTGCAAGATCACCGTAAACCACCGTTGACCCCGTGGTCGCTCGTGTTCGTCCGCGTTCGTCCGCGTTCGTCCGCGTTCACCGAGCCGCCTTCGCCGCCGCGGCCGCGCACGCCGTCGATACCCGAGACTCGAGCATCGTCCTCCCGTTTCGGATGTCAAGGATAACCCGCGCGATCCACCAATCGACCGTTAATCCTCTTCGATCGTGTACGATCTATAAATACGGTGTTCGCCGCTAAAGCATTCGGCTAGACCAGAAATGCTCTAAGATTCGACACGGGTTAATTTTAGTCGCGGTTGCTCGGACGGCGAACGAGGACCGGACATCTGAAACGACCGCGACGTCGAGGCTCGGGTCTGCTGTCCGCTCGCGCGAGCGAACTGCCGCGAGGAAAGCCGATCGTCGAGAGCGGCCTTGAAAACGCACCGGGACACGCGGGATCGATTCACCACCGGTCCAGCAATTTCTGACCCTCTGCCAGCCACCTCTTTGCCCTTTTCTCCTTTTATCCCTAACGCGCCCTTGCGAGCCGCGCTCTCCTCGCACTGTAATCGCACTCGCACTCTTCGCACCCCAACGATCACCGCACTCGGGCCGCGGTACGCGCAAGCGNNNGCCGTCCGAAGAGGACGCGAGCGGATTTTTCGTCGAACTTGAGGGCCCAGCGAGTCGCGGTTCTCGCCGTCCGTCTGACGCCGTTACGCAACGCTTCTATAAGCATCCGTGATCCGCTCGGAATGTGCTCGCGCTCGCTCGCTCTCTCCCTCTCTATCCGGCCTGTCTCTCCTCTCTCCGTCTGGTCGTTCCTCGATGGCTGCTGAGCTTGTTC